ATATTGACTCTACCATAATGGATGATTCGTCAACCTTATAAAACTGTAGCACCAATCTATACAAGTTTATGAAAAACTCTGTATTTCTTCGAAGATTTTCAAATAGTCGCGCAATCTAAATGCTAGCCTATAACCCATGACTCACGTTATCTCATTTCATGTACCCTTTAATTCAACTGACATGGCGCCCGGAAGGCGGAGCTTCGTGACTTATTAAGGCTGGATAATGACAGAGAGCACGCGCGCGAGAGAGACGCAGAATGCGTCGCGGGCGCGAGTGGCCATAACTAGTCACGAAGAATCGAAGGTTAGTTGGCAAAGAATCGAACAAGAAGCAGACAACAATTTTCGAAAAAATATCTAGCAGGAAGAGGAAGAAAGCTGAATGAATACTCAGATGTTGTTATAAAAGATAAAATCCCGTGAAGAAAAGAAAATACCTCTTTATCACCGAATAGCCAGCCAGGGGTAGCAGGGGTCAAAAAGGGCGCGAGACTTAAGGTCATGTGATCGCGTATCGATTGAAATTTTACCTCCTCCACTGATCTGCACCTTTAGGCACTAACAAATATTAAGAATGTTGTAAATTAGAAGAAAAACAGCCAGTAATTATTATTTTATTTATTTATCGCCTCGGAAATTCCTATGCATATTACATTCAACAAGACACCAAAGTGGAATTAACAAAGCAAATCAACACAACAAATTAGAAAGGACCAACAATCATATGAAGGAACTATGGCGGAAGAAGATAGTTCTCAAGAACCATTTTGAACTGAGACAATTTGAAAGGAAGCATACCCTTTCTCATCAGTTTATCTAGATCGCCGCTGACTCTATTCGTGAAGAGTCTTCTTCTCAATTCCTCCCTGCTCTTGGTATTACCATTTTTTGAAGGCCGCCTAGTAATAGAACTTCTAGTCTCAAAGAAAATGGCAGGATTGAGTTGGCAGTCTCCGAATAATATTTTATGAGCCATAATGAGATCAAACTTCCGTCTTCTATTGGACAGGCTAACCAATCCTAAGACCTTATTTCGATCCTTTCCGTTGGGTAAAAGTTCGTATTTGAGACCTTTGATTCTAATCAACAACTTTCTTGTGAAGCTGTTTTGCACTCTTTCTAGTACTTGTACAGTTCTCCGCTTCGTTGGATTGAAGATAACCGCTCCAATAAAGGTCTTAAATACACCTTATATGCCCTCATGAGAATGTCAACATCAGTTGTGGAAAGGGTTCCAAACAGATTATATACTGCCGAAATTCCTTTAGCTGCAGTACTTTCGCAATGTTTATCAAAATCCAGGCGACTATTCACTAAAAACCTTAGATCTTTTATCTCTTCAACATAATCAAGAACTTCACCTTTGTATGATAATTGTAATCGATAATCGGAGGTCGAAGGTGAAGAACTTTGGTTCTTTCTGTGAAACAATTTCAGATATCAGATCATTCTATTATACTACTCGGTTCAGTGCTTTTTTCCTTATCTACTGTTCCTGCTACTAAATTGTATATCTTGAAATCATCGGCAAATCCACAGCACGTCACTCCTGCCTCAGAAACTAAATGAGGAAGCTCATATACGTAAATGTTAGAGAGAACTGGAGACAACACTCCGCCTTGTGAGACTCCACTAGGCATTGCCCTCAGGCTAGAAAAAGCATCTCCAATATGAACACTGAAAGTACAATTATCTAGAAAGGAAGCAATCCATGAAACAATAGAGGGATGAATTCCAACTAGCTTTAGCTTTAGATAAGTCTCGAATGCGACACCTTGTCAAATGCTTTCGTAAAATCCAGATAGACAACATCAATCCTCTTATTATCCTCTAACCAACGAGTCCAATCATTCAGTGAGTAAAACATGAAAGTTACTGTTGATTTTCCCTTGCTTCGCGGGCGCGAGTGGCCATAACTAGGTCACAAAGAATCAAAGGTTAGTTGGTAAAGAATCGAACGAGAAACAGACTACAATTTTCGAAAAAATATTTAGCAGAAAGAGGAAGAAAGCTGAATGAATACTCAGATGTTGCTATAAAAAGACAAATTCCCGTGAAGAAAAGAAAATACCTCTTTATCACCGAATAGGCAGCCAGGGGTACAGGAGTCAAAAAGGGCGCGAAACTTAAGGTCAAGGTCGGTTAAGGTCCACTGTTCTGCATCTTCAGGCATAAGGAATAGCACCCTTAGGCGCTAAAGAATATTAAGAATGCTGTAAATTAGAAAAAAAAACAACATTTCCAGCACCGTTTTGAAAGTAAGATGCAAAACTTTTTTCTGGCAAACAAAGTACTATATGAGAGCATGGAAGTGTAGTTTTGTTTAAGGAAAAGTAGACCAGTATTTGGTTAGGAAAGATTTTCTTAAGATTCATGGGCACAAGTCGGACACACGGGCACCTCTGGACGCTGCCCAAAAGCGTGCAAAGCGCGCACGGACATTTGCGCGCGTGAGGCCCCCGCGTTGCGGATGCGTAGCCGCGCGCAAAGAGGCACTGCAATTGGAAAAGACTTTGCGCTGGTGATAAAAGCTAAGAGGGGACTAAGTCTTCGTAAAAATTATGGCGATTTGACTAAAGAAGAGTGTACAACGCAATTTTCAGTGAATAAGGAAAATATCAGTGAAGCTTAGAATATTTAGGATGACTATAAGAATTTTCAGAAACGAATGCTGGTGATGATAATAAACCTACAGGTGTACAGATTATGTGAATGCAATTTGCGCGCAACTATAAAACTTTGGAACGTGAAATTTTTCTAACTTCTTCCTCAATTGAAAAAGCATCACATACAATGTTATCCTTGATTGAAACGTCCCTTACAAAACAACCTTTCGGAACTAGTGAGTTAGTCTTTCCCATGAGATTTATAAGTGTTATGTAATCCACAAATTCTTCAACGAATCCTTGTGACTATACCGTCATTGCTAAAGCGATTACTAAATATACTTACAAAGTTTTTGTACTTTTTTTGCTCGGGATACAACCTAGATATCCTTTCACATTTCTAAACGCTTTTTTCAGCTAGAGCTAAAAGTATCTCGGTGATGGGCACATTAATTAGTTTTTTGTTAAATGTGAGTAAACAAAAGCCACGGCAAGCAATAGATTTTCCTTATTTCCTCTTTTTATGCGAACTTCTTAAAGCATTGTCTTTTTCGGATTCCATTTCTGCTGTAACTTTGCATTAGCGCGGCTATCTTCAACCTAGGCTCTTTATCATTAACGGCAGATGGGAGTGATCCCATACTACACTTTACACATCTTCGAATTTAATGGATCATTTTTTGCGTTTTTTTTTCGAAATTATATCGTGCACCAAGGAAATACATGACATTTGCCTCGTCAAAGCTTTCTATCGCTTTCAAGACTGCGCAGTACAATCTGTGAAAAATCTTCGCTCTTTTTCTAGCTATGTTGTGGAATGCTTCCATGACTCACACCGACGAAGCAGCTGATCGCATTTGTCTTGATATTTTTAGAACTAAAGACTAATTTGTAAAATTTTAAAGCCATAGATTTTCGAGGCAAAAACTTTACACGTGAGTCACTGATAGACTCGAAACTCTAGAAGCTTTTGTGGCAAATAGTAAGCTACGTACCAAACATTCTTCAAGTCCTGGCACTGAAAAATTGTGGTGTAGAAATATAAATCGGCAAATTTTTCTCCTGATTCGCAAGTCTGTATGGTTCATCGTGTTTCTATATTTTTGATTTCCTTGCACCTGAAAAATTTTTAACTAATAGATGTTCTGTTTTGCTATGCATATTGAAGAATTTATGAGTAATAAAGTGTAAATGTCTACAAGTACAATATCGAATTCATAATTAGAGTAAAACGATTTTTTTGAACATTTTGGAAGCAGCAACTAGAATACATGTAAAAAATCTGTTTCACTGACTTTACTAGCCAATACAAATTTTTGCTCGAAGCAAAATTGAAAGATCCTTTTTTCGTCCAAGTTACATCAAAACGAGCGAATTTGCAAGATCAGAGAAAATTGTGATTTTTGAAAGATTTTTATGCGAGATTTTCGGTTCAACGTGATATAAAGCAAAAGTTCCGGAATAATTTTGTCAAAAAACTGCAGTAAGATTCTAATAACCTAATGAGGCATTTATAAAATTCAAAAAGTTTCATTGAGTTCACTAAAAGCTGTGTTCAACATGCCTGCATCACGAAGGTCGTTCTCACTGCAGGGCGCGAAAAACTCTGACTCGTTCATCCTGAAATCACCATCGCTTAACCACCTGTAAACCACCTGACTGAGTATAATTCGCACTTCTTCGCAACCTTACCTTTCCCTAGTCATTTCCAGCTCTTTCTCAGCTGTGAATTCACTGTTAACGGGAGATTTCAACCTCGAATCATTCTTAAGATCGTTCATGGTGTTCAAGCAGTCGTCATATCCGCACCCGCCCACCGTGATAGGGGGGGGGGGGAACTGAGGCAGAGGGAGGGGGAGCGGATGTGGAGTGACCAAGCCTCAGAACCACAAATGCTCGGAGCAATCGCTCAATCACTTACTATTTTCACTAGCTTTGAGCACTGTGAGGTTGTGCAGTTGGAGCACTTTTGCTTCCTCTTCCTTCTCCGCCCCTTCACTCATTTGATCTACTTGTGCAATTCTTAGAACTTTCCTGTCATAATATTCAAATATGCCTTCATCTTTTGTCGAAAACTTTCATCATTTGAACTCTAACCATTCATTGCTGCAAGCGAGCAGCAAGAGACAAGTGACAGACACAAGATATGAGTCAGCACATCTCCTCCACATTGGATGAACTCTTTTTTTCTGACCAGGAGGTCTCTTGTCAAGTCTGATTGGCAATCTTTTCGTAATTGATTAGAGTCCCACCTGGCTCTGGCAGTGCTTTCGAAATTTTTAGCGCTATCGTGGCTAAAGACTTCATTTCCTCAAATCTTATCAGTCCGTATATTTAACTACTTTCTTTTCTCCAACAACGTGCAAAATTACTTTTGAAAATATATTTCCAGGTGCATGTTGCCGCTTAGGCTGCTGCTGCTTTTAGCAGCAACCTTAAGTGGGGCTGCCACTAGCGATCAACGATATCCACCGGTAGATGATACGGCTGGAAAAAGTTCCTTAACATTTGTTTTCGACATCACTGGATCCATGTTTGATGATTTGGTACAAGTCCGGGAAGGTGCCCGGAAAATCTTCCAGACAGTGATGCAACAGCGAGAGAAGCTCATCTATAACTATATTATGGTCCCGTTTCATGACCCATGTGAGTTTTGAAAGTTTTGAAAAAATGATTACATATTCTAAGTATTTATCCATGAATTTTCTGTAATCTTCTTCTACTGCCCTATTCTCATCAAAAAATAAAGTAGTAAAAGTGAGTAGCTCTAAGTTGTACTTACAGCACAAATTTTCTATACTGATGGTTAATCATCTACCGAATTTTCTACGATGATGTCTTATTTACTTACTCTTTTGGTTTATATTCTTTTGTGAATAGAGAATTCTATGAACAGCAAAACAGACACAGTAAAAAATAGTGTCACTTGAAACAAAATAAGAATATCACTCAGATTCCAAAGAATGCAGATTTTACGAGAAAATTCTTCGAACATAAATCGATTCCAAAACTAATACCATTCTTAACTGCAAGATTTTTCCAGAATTTGTTCTGTGAACTTGTCCTCTTTAAGCCTGTACTTTTACTATACTTTTCTGTCCTATTTCGACTCAGCCCACTCTCGGTTCGTGTTCCACAGCTTCCTCACGCCAATGAACCTCATCCTTATCAATCACTCTTTCTGCTGGTCAATCCATCAGCTAGTGTGAAAATGTGCAACAAGCGTGATCGAGCCATTAGTGTGTTTGTTTCTTGAGCATCCGATCAAAAAAGAAAGTAACTGAGAGGCGCGAATTGCCCCGATCTTGTGATAGATTTGACTCTGAGATTTGTAGAGGCCCTTTACCATTGTTTATTCTAGCACTTGTCATTTTCAAGAGGTTCAGAGGGTCTATGAGTCAAAAAAGTAAAATGATATATCAATTGCGCCTATAGCTGGCAAAATCGTCTAATCAACGCGATTTCTCGGTTACACTATCGGATCGCTTCGAGCATTTGATTTATGTGCGTTAATCTCACCTGGATCCTCGACGGACATAAATTTTTTTGATGCAAGAAAATAGCATTTCAAAGAATTTATAGGTTATATTTGCTGAGATTGTACTCTTTCAGATTTGGGAGAAATTATTAACACTACCGATGCAGCTTACTTTGTTCGTCAACTGGGCAAAGTCTATGTGCATGGTGGAGGTGATTGTCCTGAAAAAACACTTACTGGTGAGTCTTATACATTTTCAGCAAATTTAGAATTTCGGATAGCGAGAATGTCAAGAAGTTCCGCAGTTGCACATCTACTCATAAAGGCGAATATTCGTCACGGTACAGAGCCCTCGCGGGCCGTTTCCTCGTAAATTCGCGCACTGCTATAAACAATTCTATGGATTTTGGATTTTATGGATTTCATGCGAAATCACACCAGGAAGACACTGATATGCGCTTTGATGTAAGGACCGTTCGAGGGAAGCGGCCGCGCTTGAAACGCGATACTCATTCGTGTATTCAGATAGCTCGAAAGTTGTCGATGTAAACTGGTCGGACAGCTGGCCACCGCAGCTTCCCGATTTTGAATTTGGAATGTTGCAATGGATGAATTTGAACTTCATCATTAATATGATTAATCAAAAAAGTCGTACAAAACAGTTTCCTCGCTCAGACGCATCAAAAGCATTGGCATAATCCGTGCAAAAAACCCGTTACCCAACTCTTGAAATATAAAGCTTTGGAACCTTGAAGACGTGGTACGTGATAGAAAAATTAATCATTGAAATGAACTTTTTGAATTCACTGGCAAATCACTCTGGCAAAATATGCGTCCTTAACGCCACGAGCAACATGATCCTCCTATGACTGTCGCAGACCGTGCTAAGCCTATAAGTCAGCGTAGTGGAGTACGCCGGTTGGCCTGCCTGGAAAGAGTACGGTCTGGGCGAGAGTTTGGAGCTGAATTTCTCGGCTATGAATAAATCATATGAGCTGCCGCCTAGATAAGACCCTAATAAGAAATCCAGGTGTCCACACTCGAGTTGCTGAGAAAGATTTCTTAATTTTTTTTGGCCTTAGATTTTTTTCGTAAGTAAGACCGACGATAATTTAGCATCGGTCAAAAAGGTAAATCTCTTCGTAAAAACTTTTTCGTTACTAACAGGAAAAAAACAACTTCATGAAAGTATACAGATTCGTTAGGCTATGGTGTTTACCATCATTTCGTTATATTTTTGCTTTTCAGGTATTCAAAAAGCTTTGGAAATATCGCTGCCGTCTTCATTCATTTACGTATTCACCGATGCTCGATCAAAGGATTACGATCTTGAAGATACAGTACTGAATATGATCCAAGAAAAGCAGAGCTCGGTAAGCAATTTTTTTACAATCGTTAAGGGGATTGTGCATCACAACCATCCTACTCTTGCATTTATCAGTAGCCTTTAAACTTTTTTGATACATCACAAGCAATTCTCGTGCTATCTTCAACCTTGTACCAACAAATTCAAAACTTCTTCCTCTATTCATTAACGCCGTCAGCTGATTTTGTTCATCTAAAAAAATAGATATATGTCTTAGTGCTGGGCTAGTACATAAATCGAATAGCACTCAAAGACTACTTCTTACAATAAAACGGAAGTACATTGGGTTTGATAAGTTGCTGTGTTGCAATTTTTTGGTCCGTTGATAGAGAGGGGTTTTTTCTTTAAGATCATTTTGATTATGAATTTTTCATGTGTTCTAGCAGTGCGGGCAACAGAAAGAAAGGAGAGAAAACTTGAGAGTAGAAAGAGGTAGAAGAATGATCAAACTCGAATTCTCAAGCTTTTCTTTCAACGATTTCTTCGTTTTTTTCCTGAGAAATCTCGTATCTAGTCCAAGTAAAGTTGAGCTAAATATTTCAAACAGTTAAACGAAAAGTTCTGACTTACTCGAGCAACTGTTCTTTATTGTTGGAGCATGAGCTATAATCAACATATTCCTAACCTGTGGCGGTCCCAGGATCCGTTCGGGAAGGCGGGGGGGGGGGGGGGGAACCACCAAATTTATTTTGAACAAAGGTGATTTTTGCTTCCCAAATTTTTTGTTGGCTTCTAACCCTGAAATTTGAGGAGAAGGGTGCATGGCGGCAGCCACGCCCCGAAATTTTTTTTGCAAGGATGATTTTGAATTTTTGAAAACTTTACAATATTATTTTAATAACATACAAGTTAAAACAAGTCACTTGCAAATTTTACAGCCCATTTGAAAAATTTTCAAAAAATTCGTGATCTTTTTTCGGGGAGGGGAGGGAGGAATTCTCTCGAGAATGGGTCGTAAAGCTATCTTTGCTATCATAACAATTATAATTTGGAATCCTTTTCACATTTTTCGCATACAACTGACATTTGTTCCAGGTAGTCTTTGTAATGACCGGTGATTGTGGAAATAGAACTCATCCAGGATTTCGAGTCTATGAAAAAATTGCAGCTGCATCCTTTGGACAGGTATCCATGTCTGGACTCCCTTTGACTGTTTCAAAAATCTTTAACTTTAGGTATTTCATTTGGAAAAAAGCGATGTGTCCACTGTTTTAGAATATGTAAGGCATGCCGTCAAACAGAAAAAAGTGAGTGCTTCATATCACTCTTGTCTCTACAATAGAAAAATGTTTGCTTGCAGGTCCATGTAATGTATGAAGTCCGGGAAAGAGGTGGTACTGTAGTACGTAATGTACCAGTTGACGAGCATATGACAGAATTAACGCTATCACTTTCTGGAGATAAGGATGACGAAGAAGTTCTGGATATCACGCTGAAAGACCCTTCAGGTATTTTCTACAGAGTTTATAACTCTTACAAAAACTTTGACTCCAAGCGTACAAAGACCAGGTGTCGACGCCTGATTTTACGCCTTTTGTTGTCAGAGTAAAAAGCCCAGCGTTGTAAAAAAGATAAAAAGGTGTCAACTGGCATATTGAGTGTTTCCGAATTGCCTAATGAACATATTACGAAAAAAATGCAAATGCACCTTCTCCCATTGATTGCTCGAAAACATCCTGCAGTTTTGACACTGTGGAAGTGGTCTGGGGAAAGAAAGGGCAATAGATTTGAGTCATATTAGTCATCGTCAGTCATATTAGCAACAGAGCATGTTTATTCCAGGTCGACCTGTGGATAAAAACGTTTATAGCAAAGAAGGAGGCACAATAGATCTGAAAAATGTTAAACTTATTCGACTCAAGGATCCCCAGCCTGGTGTTTGGCAGGTTATTATTTATTTACTATCGCTGTAATGAAAGTAGGGTACAGCAAATCTGGGAGCCTGAACTTCATGAGTAAGAACTGATCGGGTGGCTTTTTCTAAGCCATTGTCAAAACGGCAGCATATGATTCACTGATGGGCAAGAAACTAGCCTTCAAACTCGCGCCCAAACCGCACTCGTTCGAGTTGGTTACCGGCGCGTACGGTCTGGGCGTGGGTTTGAAGGTGAATTTCTCGGCCACCACTAAAGCTTATGAGCTGTCGCTTGGGCTATGATTAAGGACTCCCCATCAGTTTCCACGTGAAATCTATCACTCAGTTATGCCTAAGCACTTCCTTATTCCTCCAACAATTTCGCTCCAGGTAATCACGAATTCTCGTCTCAAACATACGATACGAATATTCGGCCACGGTACTATCGACTTCAAATATGGATTCGCAACAAGACCGTTGGATCGAATAGAACTGGTTAGTTATCATTAGCTTTTTCAAAGCAAATTTTATTTCCCAAAAACTGCAGGCCCGTCCACGACCGGTCTCCAATCAAAACACATATCTGCTTGTGAACATGACAGGCTTGGTCCCACCAGGAACGACCACCGAAATTTCTTTAATCGACTATTACGGTTGAATTCTTGCTAAAATTCATAATCATACCGTCAGCCAAAAGAAAATTCTAGGTAATACGCTGTACACCAACGCTGCATCTCCACATCGAAATAATCCACATATGTACTTTGTGGGCCCATTTATTCCACCTAAAGGTCTATTTTTTATCCGTGTCAAAGGTGTTGACGAAGATGTGAGTTCTTTGTGGAGTTTTTTGTAAAGGATAAGAAATGAAGTTTCTTATAGGACTATGAATTTCAACGCATTGCGCCAACGGCTATCGGAAGTGTGAACGTGGGTGGTCCGCGTGCTTATATGAACCCGACGACGACAGCATTTGCCTCAACGGTGATTTTTCCTGGAATAAGCTTCTAGAAAGTTGATTAGTGAACCAGCACCATTAGAAATCGTGGCAAGGTGGTATCTCGTGATGCAAGCACTCAATTTAAAGCTCTGACTTCAGAAACTGAGAAAAATTGTACATCATTCTTCTAGAAATTTGGGATTCATGTAGTTAAAGAATGACATTCTGGTCATTTAAAAACAGAATACCTAAATGTGGCTTGAGAAAAATATCACGTTTGGATGTGACTAGCCCATTCGCAGGGTCCTTTTGTTCGTAGTATTTCCGAAGAAGTCCTTACCTCAGTCAGCCTACAATAATAATGAGATTTATATATCGTATCGCTCGATATCGTAGATCTAGACGATGCTAGCTTTTCTATGTGGAACTTTAATAGCAAATGACCAGAGAGTTATCGCTGTTTTAAAAGGGGTAAGATGTCTGGGGTCCTTTACATATATTGAGTTACTGCATAATTCTTGCACGATAATATGTGAAGTTACTGCAGCTCCAATGAACTTGTGATTTGAGACATATAGGGAAAAAATTTTACTCTTTCCAAATTTGCTTGAATAGAAAATGATGTTGGCATATGGCAAAGGTATAAGCTGATCAGGAGTACTACCCGAAAACGACTTTTTTCAAATTCGTCGCTGAAAATGGCCAACCTTTTACCGAAATCTGGATTTATTTTTGCTCTTGATTTTATGATCACTTCTTGATTAAAAATTGCGGTAGTGATCGAATGTGTCTTTGAATAGTTATGAATTTTGGGTTTTCCGAATTCGAAATGATGGTTTCAACTTGGTTCCATCAAATTTGTTATAGAGTACTATTGTCATATACATAATAGCGAAGAGCACAATGTGTAAAAATTGATAGTTTGTTTGAACATTTTCAAATGAACTTTTCTATTTTCTGATGCAAGGATTGTGCAGCAACCTAATATTTCCGACATCATTCAAGTAGAAAAAGTAGAATGATCACTACCCTTTTTAATGACTTTTAGCTTGTGTATAATCTCATATATCGTTTCTACATGATAAGCCATCTGTTTTCTAGAAGATACTGAGAATGTTATTTCCTATACTCTTAATTCTAGCAATATTTATTATTCTATTTGTTTCTTTTGCTATATGCCTACCCTGCAAGGTTTTTCTCAAATAAATCCGGGCGGAAGACATATCAAATAATTTTGATGAACGCTTGTGAAACATCAATTTTAGGATGCCAATCTCACATGCTCTATCGAAAGCGCATCTCCTTTCACTTTGTACTGGATGAAAGGCAATGAACGTATCGGAGGACCTCTGTTTTACCAGTATGTGAAAAGCAATTACTAATTTCAAATAGTAACAATTTTTCTCAGATAAAAAATTCATCAATTGCTTCCAGGATGACTGACACGGCCATATGGACCTTGCCAGAGGTTACTTTGAGAGATCGAGGCGAATACTTTTGCGTTGTAGTCAGCGAAAATGGAAATCACACGGTTAAAACTTTTTTGGATACAAGAGGTTAGTATGAATTTTGATTCCTAAGACTTTTTGGTTTTGATTGACTATACATTTGCACCCAAATTGCTCATGTCGTTCAAAAAACATTTTTCCAACTGGAGTTTGATGATCACTTCTACAATTTGGAGGGTTTTAGCCACTTCATTTTGGCAATAATTCTGCGTCAGCGGCTTCGGTAGCTTTATATCTTTTTTTTCTTTCCCTCTCCTTTCATCCAGTGTCATCCATGCATAAGTGAGTACAATCCCTTTTCCTGAGCAAGTGCTTGGAATGTTTTTGGCTAGTGCTATCTGCATCATGTGCTTCGTCTGAATTTCTCCATCAATCAGCAGATGAACTCATTATTTTCTGAGATATTGTATGCCGTAACTTGTGTGCGTTTTTGAACTTTTTACGTGGGTGCTAATTAAGAGGTCTTCATTATTCTATTGGCCAAGTCTCACACCACATATAATTCAATCATGACCGAGATATTCATCTCCAGACTTTCGCCCAGACCGTACTCTTTCCAAGCGCGCGAGCAGTTTTTGTTTTTATAATTTGAGCGCGGTGGAAGTATGGTCTAGGTGAAATTTGGGAGAAGGAAATTTCATGAGTGGTTAGGTCAAAAGCTCCATCATTTTCCCACAAGAAACCCGCGCTAAGGAACTTTCCTCAGCCAAGCCAAGCAAAGCATTGTTACTTCACCGAAACCAGAATCCCTATCACTTTTTGGGAAGAAACCAAAAACTGAGGTGCATTTATCCCTTTTTACCTACTTTTTCCATACCAGAATCACCACCCATAATCACTGGGCTCACGAACACCTCTACACCACTCGGTCATCCAGCATTCCTTCACTGTCAAACACAATCTGCAAGTAAAGTTGAGATCAGATGGCTTCGATACGGTGTAACTGTGCTAAATGGCGTGAATACGGTAAGTATGTGGACTGTGATTATTCTATAAACTTCTTGTGTATCGTTCAAGATGGTCTATCCGAATGGCACTCTTCGAATACATCAAACATCTCGAGCCGATGCTGGTGCATACGAGTGTCAGGCACGAAATACAGGTGGAATGACAAGTCAAAGCACCGTACTCAAGGTTTGTGATTGGTTTTTTTACGGTAAGGATACTTATCTTAGTGATAAAATTTGATTGGTGATAAGTGATAAAATTTGATTTTGTTAGTATCGCTCACATCTGGATTCCACTGAGTTTTTTTTTTTTGATATGTGAATAATTAAAGATCTCCCACAGGTTTCCATTGGCAACCAGCTAAAATTTTAGCACCTTTGGAGCTTGGGTTGCGTCCACAGTAGTCGTGCCAGCGTCGTTCCAGCGTCTGTGAACGTAGATCGATCAATCAATACGAGTGCATCCATATGGGTTCCGGTGCAGCTAGTGAGATTGGCAAGGCACCGGAACCACACTGGACCGCGCTGGTACGGCGTTGGTACCGACTTCTCTGGACGCCGCGTTATGTATACCTTTTGTTTTTGTTCAAATTTCTCTACCATACTGCACTGATTTTTTTTCTAACTTCAAAGATCATGCTTCCAGGTCCTTGAACTTCCAAGAGCTTCCGTTTCTCCCACAACCCTATACTTCGTTCCAAGAACGACATTTAACATATCTTGTTACGTGGATGGAGATCCTAAACCTCAACCTCATTGGTTTTACAACGGTAGACGTATTCATCCGGATCATAAGTATTACATAACATTCAAAAGTAAGTTATTGCAAATTTTTTGATGATATGAAAAGTTGTTACTGAAGTGTGGATGAGAATATTTCAGATGATCTCATTGTTCGTGATCCATCACCCAGAGATGTTGGTGTCTATGAGTGTCGTGCCGTTTCACCAGCTGGAACTCATGCTGACTCAGCTACAGCCTATCTGGCAGGTAGCCAAGTATCATTTATTGATTTCAAATGGCTCAAAAATGCCTGGAATTTATGTGGATAATGTTTTTGAGACGTTAATATAGGAATAACTCAGGCGGCAGCTTGTATGATGATCGGAAATTTCAAATTGAAACTTCAGCCAAGATCGGGCTCTTGTCAATCTGACCAATCAGCGCCCTCGTGTACGGTAGGAAGTACGGTCTGGGCTGAAACTTAAAGTTGGATTTTCTTGGCCACAAATAAATATATGAGCTACCGCTTGAGCAGTATAAGGCTATTGAAAGAATACCGATGTGGAAAAGTCATATGTAATGCCACTAATTCACAATGATTTTAGTTGCACCTCGAGTAGAACTCCGTCAAAGCAAGACAATGATCGGAAGAGGAGACAGCATATCTTTCGATTGCATAGTATGTCATCAAGAATTTTTAGCAGGCGGCACTTTCGCTCCGCTAGACTATGCTATCGTAGTCGCGTACGTTTAGGTTTCGCAGCTTTGTTTGTACGTGCAATATAACGGAAAAACACTCTTTTTTATGAACGGTGAAGCAAAAAGTCACATAACGTTGTGCAGCGATAACTGCTTGTTTTCAAGGCTGCAGGATTACGGTAGCATACTGTATGCGGATCCAATAGCGCACAATCTCAGACGATTCGAACACCTAAGAAGTCCAAACTTTTTTCTTTCAGATTCTAGAGGGAACTCCTCAGCCAAAAGTGCAATGGTTCAGAAATGGTAAAGAATTACTACAGAGTAGCAATGAATACATGACTATCAGCGGTAATCATCTGAGCATATCTGTGAGTTTCTGTGATTCGAGCTTGGCTGAAGCAAAAAAAAAATCGTTGCAGGGTGCTCAAGACACAGATGCTGGATCGTATTCCTGCGTTGCGGATAACATCGCCGGAAGAGATATTGGAGTAGTAAAAGTTGCCGTAGGAAGTAAGAAAAAAATAGTTTCTACTGTTTTATTTTGTATTTGAAATTTATTTAGGCATGCCGTCTATCGTGCCTTCACCTGAAACTGTACGCGTGAACATTGAGAGACAAGTATGTTCAATTCTGCTCGCTTTTCAATGTTGCTTTTGTCGTAAAGTTGCGCGTATGTCGACGCTGAGCCACTGCCGTGCCAGAACTCACGTTGACACGTCCCGCATTGATCGATCAATATTCCGCCACGGCTCCATGCACGAAGCGGGAACGGCGCTGGCGCGGCAGTGGCACCGGCAGCTTTAACAGTTATGAACTTTAGGCTACACTACAATGCAGAGCTATTGGACAACCTGCACCAACGATCAGCTGGCAGAGAGAAGGAGTTCCATTAGAATCAATTGACCATTCGCGATATACAGTACTTCCAGATGGGAACTTGCTCATAATGAGTTGGTTAAAATTTTAGAACAAACTTCTGACTTACCAATTCCAACCCTGCTTCAGATGCTCAGCTTGAAGATCAAGCAAGATTTACATGCATTGCAAGAAATGACTACGGTCAACAGTCTAAGACTACCATGGTGATGATCATCGGCTTAGGTACGAACATTACTTGACTTATGTCGAACCTCTCATATAATAACAATCTAATTTTTTGCAGTGTCTCCGGTTTTGGGACATGTCCCACCAGAAGAACAGCTGATCGAAGGAGAAGATCTTCGTCTGTCTTGCGTTGTAGTTCTAGGTACACCAAAACCAGACTTGAAATGGTTCAAAGATGGAAGGCCGGTAGAGCCGAGCTCTTCGTTGATTGTGAGTTTACACTTATTACACCTGAGCTTCATGGGTTGAATTGTAATACATTGGTGCGAAACCTGTCGTCGTATTGAACTTATTAGATGTACAAAAGTAAAGGTTTTGCACGCACGATTCCTTCACTTTTTGTTTTACTCTGTCCCGCACAAACTGGCCGATTACAGCCGACGATGACCAGTCAGAAGCTTGCATGCCGCGCATTGCCCTATACTTATTGCTAATACTTCAAGAGTTATTTAGATCGAGGGTGGAGGTTCTTCGCTACTTCTTCGAAATGGAAATCCAGCAGATGAGGGTCGATACACCTGTGCGGCAATTTCTCCAGCAGGAAACGCGACATTGAACGTGAACGTACAGCTGATCAGTATGTTGTTATATTATTCTTTGCTTATAAAAAATCATATGGATAGTCCCTCTGTGAGCATGATTGCATGCTTCGTGTGATAGAGTTGAAATGCTTGTCTCGATTTATCTGTAGTGCGTCTTGGTGTAGGTGGCTAACAGCTCCCTTCACCCAAACACAATTTCTCTGAAGGCGTTTAAAGTAATCCGTGCCAGCGCCGTGCCAGCTCCGTGCTAGCATCGTGCTAGCCTCGTGTCGGAATGTTGATCGAACAATACCGAGCGCGGCCACGAATATTTTATCAGGGCGCTAGCATGGCGCTGGCACGGCCCTGATATTCGAATAATTCTGACGCTGCCTGACTCAGTCACACAAAGCGCGCAATGCAGCTCGGTGTCTCGTGTCCCAATACCCTTATGTGTGAAAATGTGTCTGTTTTGCGTTTGTGTGCATGTTGCCTATGTGTTCAGAGAAGCCAGAGTTCATTGTGGATGATAATGAACCACTTGCTGCTGAGTTGAGTGTACGTGAAGGACAAAGCATGGAATTGCCTTGTCGTGTACGCGGTACACCAACACCAGCAGTTACATGGAGTCTTGACGGAAGACCCATCAGTGTCAACTCTAAGGACTATACTATTACGGTACGATACACACAGATCAGAAGTCTTGAAGGCAATGTCTAGGAATCACTGCATACTTGGGTTTCTTTAGTGAAAACTGGTTGGGAGGCATCAGCTAAGTCATTGACCAAGTGGCAGTTCATATGTTCCACTACTGGCCTAGAAATTGGATTTCAAAGACTCGCCCAGACCGTAGTCGGTCGAGTCGGCCATTAGCGCGAATACGGTAGTGGGCGGAAGTTCAAAGCTGGATTTCTCGGCTACGAATGAAAAACGTGAACTACAGCTTGGGCGATGACTTAGTTGAAACCTCTCAAACAGTTCCCATGCAATAATTTTAGGCACTCATATTTGCCTAGACACTGTCTCCAAGTGTGAACAATTACAAGAACACTGTACTACATAACCTTTCAGCAAGACAACACACTTATCATTCTTAACGCCGATAAGGCTAGCGCTGGAACCTATACCTGCACGGCAATGAATCCTGCTGGTGAAAGTGAACAGGTACGGTAGTAATGCTATACAGAAAAAGGATGAATGCAGCAACTGGAAAAAAAATTAAGGGAAAATTTTGGGGATTTGTCTGAAAGAGGATAAGTCTAGCCACTGCAGGATGACATACCTATGTTTACAGGGGTGTAAAAACAAATACTGCCACTGGGCGTCGCTCCGCGGGCTACTCTTCCTAACAGGGCATGCTACAGCGTGCGCGAAAGGAACAGTTGTCTGGGGATGCGCTGCAAATCGGCGGTGTTCGTTTTTATACTCTGAATCCTATAGTAAGAGTTGACATATCACATCAATTCTAACAAATAGTGAATCCTTTTTGAGTTTCTCTACCATTTTACACCGTATTTCATGGCTGGATATTGATTAGTATAACACTTTTGGATATCTGCCAAATCGCGCTCGCAGAGCTTGCTTCGATATGTCATTGTTATAATCATATCAAATCCATAAATAGTGCAATTTCCTACCTGAGATTGCGTGTTTCAAACAGAGTCTTTAATTCTTTCCAAAAAAATTCAGTCAACCTACGTCAGCGTTATCGCGGTGCCCGTAATATCACCAGGTCAAAGCTCGTTCAATCTTATACAAGGCACGCCTGTAACCATCCCTTGCGATGTTTATATGGATCCAATGCCTGATATCAGATGGTAAGTTCAGAGTGGGGCACTTGCGAATCATACCAGACTTACTTGCAGGTATCTCAACGGTGAACCTTTCGAAGGCGGTTATGTCGATGAGAATGGTGCTCTAACCATAGAAGATGCCGAAGAGTCGCACAGGTACCTAGTATGCAGTTACCTTAAGACTACAGTATCACTCAAAGTCTAAAGATTACTCTCGGTCGGAAGCGGTAGTTTTATTGTCGCAAAGCGGTGCGAACGCGGCGGTCTCGTTGAAGTGTATGCGCTACAAACAGTAGAGAGCAACGAGCGCCGCATTCGCGCGCGCGTATCTTATGTGGGCATCCGCCTTCGTCCGGGAACAGCCTTTTGACTTTGACTTGAGTTTTGAACTTCAGAGGCCAGCTGAAATGCGTTGCTTCAAATGAAGCTGGAGAAGATGAACGGGTAGTAACCCTCACTGTTCATACAGCTCCCATTATTGACGGCAGTGGTCAGGTAAATTAAAAAAAAATTTTTTGGAAATTTCTAGTGTGATAAACAAATTTTCTTAGACTGTTAACAAAATCGCCCTTGTCAATGAGACTGTACGCTTGCCTTGCCCAGCTCGTGCTATCCCGCCTCCGATACGAATTTGGAGTTATGAAGGACAAAATTTGGAAACGTTACCGATGCACGTAAGTCATCGACTTTGTCCATGGATTTCGAAATGGCTAAGCTTTTCCCTTTTCAGCATGAGGTGTCGGAAGCGGGGGAGTTGATTCTACCAATAATTCAGTTGGATAATACTGGACACTACACATGCCTTGTATCAAATCTTGCTGGAGATGATTCCATCACCTATAGTTTAGAGGTAAGTTGCGCCCCAAAAGCTCTTTCAAAATTTTCAAAAACGTTTTGTTTGATTCATTGTTATCATACCACATGTTTAGGTTCATGAAAAGCCCCAAATTGTTTCGGAAACACCTGGAACTATAGACGTTGTCAAAGGTTTGACACTTGAAATTCCGTGCAAAGCGAGAGGAACTCCGGAACCTGAAAGAATATGGAAGAAGGACGGCATCCAGGTATGGAATTCACCTTAAACGCTTCTGTCAAAACTGATTCAGTTGCCCAAGTGGCAGCTGTGCTGGCCGAAAAATTTTTGTTTAAACTCCCGCTCAGATCGTACTCCGGCTGGCAATTAACTTATCTTCTTTTCAGATTGGCGATCAAGAGACAGAAACCACAAATATCGATTCGGCCGGAACACTTCGAATCCTGAACACACAAGTACGTTAGACTAATCTCCATACCGTATGCTACCGTATTCCTGCGACAGTACGTCGCATCTATCTGTAGGTCCTTGCTGGGCGGTTACGCAAACATACGGTAGTGGTACAAAAGGTCACTTTTTTCTGATGCTTTTTGAAGTGATAAATTCAGACAGCTCATGGTGGACAATATACATGTGAAGTTAGCAATCCTGTTGGATCGGATAGCCGTGTAACTATCGTTGTTGTTCAAGGTTGAGCTTATATTTTATGAGAATTTTCTAAAGTTGGATACCAGTATTTTGTATTTTATATCATGTAATTTTCAAAATTTAGCGAGGCAATTTCTTACTTCTATTACAGAACCTCCAGTTATTCTGCCAGCCACTATAACCAACTACACTTCCGTTGAAGGCGACTTAGTAAGTTTCTTATTGGTTTATCATATTCAAACTTTAACTTCATCGTTTGGCTATAGGTCGAAATTCGCTGTCACGTCGAGGCCAATCCTCCTGCTGAAATTCACTGGACCAGGCGTGGCATACCTGTTACAGAATCCACGCCAGGAGTATCAGTAAACGGTAGAAATTGTGAAGTTACGATATGTTATAAATGAGAATGTTACCATCCAAGGAGGGACTCTGATTATTCAATCGGTCAGCAAGGAGGACGCTGCTTTTTACACATGCAAAGCCTCAAATCCAGCCGGAAAAACAGAAAAAGTGATTCGTCTCAGTGTTATAGGTAGAGAAAAATATCTTCAACTTCAACGGAAATTTTAATTTGGTTTTTTCTCTAGTGCCACCCGACATACCCGACCAAGACACCGTTGTTCTCGAATCCGTCAAAATCCATCAGCCATTCAGTTTATACTGCCCAGTGTTCAGTACTCCACTTCCAACGGTCTGTTGTGAAATACCAGACTTCACTAGCAAAATATGAATATTCTGTTAATTTACAGATCACATGGTATCTTGACGACACTGTTATGTCAGATGGTGATCCGAATATCTTGATGTCTGAAGATAAAAGACGATTGCACGTCGTCAAGGTAAGAAATAGAATAATTCTTCATTTTGTACTCAAACTTTGAAGTTTCCTGCGAGTTTTGTACTGCATTGATAATCCTCTTTGTTGCTGGGTCCATTTATGTGCTTTTCGTATTCAATAATTGCCTTTAGCTATTTAATCTCTAAAGGAACGTTTTATGTCCTTTTCTTTCACCCAGTATCCTTGGATTTTCAATGCTTTTCTGCTACTCACACTTCTTGAACTACAATACTGTGTTTTTTGCCATTTTGAGGGAATAGCGAGGCTTTATATTTATGATTAAAATTGCATAGTATTTTCATAGCATGTTGAGCCTCGGCTCCATTCAAGATCCATTCCGCTGTAGAAAAGGAATTTAGAGCTCTTCCACTATGTAAACGATGTTCTTTTTCTCTAAATTTACATCCGCATCAAATACTTGCATAAGGCTAATATTGAAATTGATTCTTTCTCCCCGTACCACCGTAATAAACTCCCATTAGGGAAAACTGCATAAACACAACTGTGGTATCAGATGCAACTTGCCGTTTTTCACTAAGCAATCCTCGTTGACTTATCAAACATTTTTTCTGGTATGCAATACCGAAAACTGGTTTCCTACAGCTTTTGCTTGCGACTTCCAGCTCCTTCTCAATTTTTACATATTTGGCTTCCTTTTCATTTTGTTATTTGGTTTACCGTGCAATGAGCTCAACATTCTAATATTGTGGTAAGTAAAAACCGGTAGACAGATTTTTGGCTGTAAATAATTGTACATTTCGGAGAACTTACGTCAGATGAAATCTGTATCTTGCATGTGGTACAGTAATCAGCATGACTGGAACCAGCACCCGAGACCAACCACGCCATAATCGTGGCTGAGACTTGGAAAGATGATTCAGATTTCAAAGTGATTGTAATTTTAGGCGCGGACCACTGATGCTGGTGTGTACAAATGTGTAGCAAGAAATCTAGCCGGAGAAAGCAGCAAAACATTCGATGTTGAAGTCATTGGTATTGTTTGAAAGGCTTAAATTCGTTTCCAGCTCAACGTTCTTGCTTTCAGTTCCTCTAAATGTTGACGAAACCGAGTGGAAGAGGAAAGTGACCGTGTTTGAGGGCCAACGAGTTGAGTTGGGTTGTCCTGTGAGCGGACATCCTGCCCCGTCCGTGAACTGGGTCGTGGGAGGAAGAATCTTGGACCCGGGTGAACAAGTGAGGGGTGTGGAAGTGTCAGAAAGTGGTAACTTGGTAAGCAATTTTATGACGGTTGGCCCTTTTGCACCGAAAGATACGCTGCGGACGAGCGCCGTGCTAGTGCCGTGCTGGTGCCGTGCCGGAACGTCGATCAATCAAACATGAGCGCGTGCGCAGATTCCGGTACGGCAACAGAGGAAAGTAGTCAGCCCTTGGCATTGGCGTCGCCTGCAGGAACCTTGCACGGACGCAATTACGGCAGCATACTGTAGTGGTGCAAAAGGGACTTTTCCATTTTTGCTTCCGAATTGTGGATGCAATAAAAGTTTCAGTTGATCATTGATAATACAACACTAGAACATGCTGGAAATTACCATTGCGTAGCACAGCACAAAGCTGGAAGTCTAGACGTCGATATCGAGTTGACCGTACGAGGTGAGTGATGAGAGGTTCCGGTTCATCTACTTTTTCTTTTCTTTTTTGGTCTGTTGATTTTGATAGCATATGCAAGATCTCCTTCATGCTTATTATGTGGAGATTCTTGTGTAGGGTCCGTATCTATATTACTAATTGTTTGGTACTCAACAGAGCAAATTTCAATTTCACCAACCTATTGCTAATGCTTAAATCATCAATTTACTTGTCAAGAACCAAAATTTGCTTCGAATGCTTTTTTTGGACCTCCCACCTGTGCTAATTATTTGCATCCCTGATACCATAATCGATTTGCGTTTAGGGAAAAAACCAAAGTGAATTAGGTGTTCGCAAAACAAATCAGCATATAACGTGATTTCTTCTCAGCCTGCTTCCTTCTCGAAGATATTTTGTAGCGGTTGATCTATTGGTTTTTCCAAGGTCCCTTCTCATTCGCATACGCACACCATAGGAGTCTCAGACTGCTAACAAAACCTTTATTATTTACATTTCGAAAATTGAGTATTCCCAAAAAAATGTCGTCAGAATTCTGTCAAATAATTTTGTGGTTGCTTACAATGGTTAGCTAACATAGAGATGTGAAATTACAAAGAATATTTTTGATGAAGCAAGCGCCAGCTTGTTCAACAATCGGGTTAACATCACAAAATTAACTTAGGAAAATTGTAGAATGGAAAAGCATGACTACAATAATTTTCACAGCATGTGGAGGTCATTGTCAATCATTTGTTTGCTAGTACCATTACTGTTTAAGAAAACATTGTGTGGGCAACCTATAGAAGCACAACACCTAGCCGTATCGGAGGGTAAATAGATTGTTATCAACTCGGAGGGGATTATGAGCTTCAGAGCGAGCGCACAGTGATGTGTGGAGCTGGAGCTGAATACCGATTTGCCTGTAAATGAACAATGGATTTAGAATTGGAGATTTGAAAACCGCCAATGTAATTTTTGAATCTGGACTTCTAATGTGGATACTAATGGTGAGCCCTTTACTAAGCCTTTGCCCAATCGGCAGCTCTTACAAAACGTTTGTGGCCAAGAAATGCATCTTTGAACTCTCGCCCAGTACCGTACTCGAGGACGACAACTGGCTCGTTAGAGTACGGTAGTGGGCGCGTGTTTAACGTCGCAATTCTCAGCCGTGAGCGTGTCACATGAGCTGCCGCTTGGCCTTGCGCCTCCCAATAGTGTTGAAATAAGAAGTCCGGGTACCCAGGGTTATTACCTGAAAAGGTGAAAAAACTTACCACGATCAATTGCTCCATATGATGGAGCATCTTCCCGAGTCCCCTGCAGCAAGCGATCATTCCGAACACACCAGTAAACACAGTTCCCATTAGGGATACCATTTCCACGACAATCAGAACGAGAAGAGCATTTGGATTTGCTGCTGGTAACATTGCACCTGGAAAAGCATTCATAGGCCATCGCCGAACGAAGGTGGTTATCCGCATAGATTGAGCGACGCGGACGCGTCACGCGAGCGGCAAAGTGGCAATTATAAACGATACCTTCACGGAAGCTGAAGTGTAGATGGTATTGGGCACCGTAGAGCGAATAAGCCACCCAACATAGGCTGCTCATGTAGATCACTGTTTGGAACATGACCATTCCACAATAGGCGATCACATGTGGGTATGAACGCCATTTTCCTCTGAAAAATCATGCATATTTTCCCTAAACATCATAAAATCAAGTGAGTTTTACGAAAACTTGCAATGCATCATTAGATAACTGTAGATGATGATCTTATTTATTTTCGTTTAGACGATCATACAACTTTATAAATTCTTTTTGTAAGCAGCATCCCAAACTTTACGACACGAAATGATGCGAAATCATCGCTTGTTTGACTATTTACAGTAAAACTTCAGTAACTGCAGAAACATGAGAGATCAAATAAGCTTTATGATGGACAACAAAGAGAGCTTTTTGAAACTCACTTCCCCTTATAGAAATTAAGGCGTTTGTACATATACTTTCATAATGCCTGTTTGGCCGCTTACCGTATGCCTACAGTAATCGCAGAAACGATGAGAGGCCAAGTGGCATCAATAGAATGAGCAACAAGTGCATCTTTCTAGAACTAGTGTCTCTACTTAGATGTTTACATATCTGTCGGATTGGCTGTTTAAAAATTTGATGTAACAGTAACCCTCTTACTTATGCCTACAGTAACCGCGAAAGCAATGACTAATGTAAGTTGTGATATGGTCACTATTCTCCCAGATTCAACTTAAAGCGTATCTCACATTTTACCGTAGAGCTGAAATAGTCACTGGAAATTGCGAGTACAAAATATTTTAGATCTGAAATAGTGCAGGGAAATTGTTTTTTTTCTTAATTCTTTAAGTCAATTTCAGACATAATTTTGTGCAAAGGAAATTATGCTTTTGCATACGTAGAGGCTCTCCAAAGATATCATCTTTATTATAGTCAATACAGTAATATTTACTCAAACATTTGAAGTACTATTCAATCCATCTTTAGTAAATTCGTGAAAGCTTCAAGACAAGTTTCATAATACTTTGCCTCAGCCGCTGATTTTTCGATTTTACAAGTGCAACTATCGAAACCAGAATTTTGGGCGAAATGCAACAAGTGCAGCATTTCAAAACCAGTACTTCCACTTCGAAATTTTATAGTGAGCATGTTTCAAAGATTGTAAGTTATCGCTAGTTATGTACAGTTCCAAGAATTTGCTCAGACGCGGAAGTTCATGTTTACCGTCTAACAAAAAAATGATGTTTGAATCTACTTCCTTCTAAGGGAGAATTAATTACGTGTAACTCGTCCATAATTTGTTTGAGCGCTAGAAACTTCAATAACAAAGTGATATAATCTCTTACGCTCTGACGGCAATATAAGCAGTAGACATGAGGTAGGTGGTCCAGGCTGATGATGTGAAACGCAGCAGAGAGAATCCGATTATGCTCATTGTTGCAAGGAGCGATACAGATGCAATCTGAAATTAGCGAGAAAAATGTACTTTTTGAATAGAGAGAGAAAGAGGGAGAAGGTAGGAAGAGGAACAAGAACTTACACAAGAAAGGAGGAACTGTATGTTTCCCATTTTTGCGATTAAGTACCAATTCATTCCCAGGTTGCTGTCCATTGTTTGATAGTCTGCTTCATTTGTATGTTCGGCTCGAGGGCTGTTGCAAGGCTAAGAAAAGGAGGATTATGTGGGCGGGATACTGTATAAATACCGTACTGTGGGTTTATCTATGCGAAACTGAGTCCTGCACAGAATATAGGCTCTTACCTGTTCCTCCACTACATTCGGCTCGCCCTGCTTAGCTTCCGCCCCTGCCGCGCCTTTCTTACTAAGGTCGAAGTCGAGTTTCATCTATAACGCTAAATATTTGAACTATTAAGAAACTTTCCAAACATTGTGAGGTATGAAGATGACAGTGAGGAAGTGAGGAAGTGAGGAACCGAACTAGGATGATGCCTCCTCCTCGCGCTGAAAAGCACTGGTCAGCCCCAGCTGGGCGGCGCAATCAATGTGTGTTTGTTGTCGCGGCAACCGAGGTCCATGCAAAAACAGAGTAGAACAAGAGCTGTACATGTTTTCTAAAGCAAACATTGCATGAAACTTGTTCGATAACGTCAGAGCAAGTGAACTGGTTCGAAAATTGAGCTCAAAATCATTTCGTATACAAAAATTGAAGCGGTTTCGGTTTCGCACTCAAGAGGCTCCTCCAAGCTCAGATTTCTCGTATAACGTAGGGGTATAGAAAAAGGTTTCTAACATTGGCTTTAGACTAGGCAACTATTATGAAGAAGCCCTACAAAGTGACTGCAAATATGCACTTTGAGCAATGATTTACAAATAATCAAGAGCGGGAATCAAATACACGAAATTTCAATTAATTTCAAATTTATTCATTGCAAATTTTAATGATTTTGCCATACAGTACTCTGCGTTGATACCACTGCTT